ACGCGGAATGCCGCGCCGCGCTCCCCCCGCCGCCCCTTACCAGGTGCCGCCCCAAGCATGTGCTTGGGTGCCTGGTGCCTGGAGCCGGCCCTGCTTAGAGGATAATGTGGTTAAATAACATCCAGACTCGATTTGTCAAGAGCAAATCATACCAAACCAACCTAATTTCCTTTTTTGACAGGGTTAGTGGCCTAGTTGCTAGGGGGAAAGCAGTATATGTGATCCATCTTGATTTTAGTAAGGCTTTTGACACAGTCCCACATAACATTCTCATAAGCAAATTAGGGAAATTAGGTAGGTGCATATCTAGTTGAAAGAGTATACCCAAAGAGCAGTTATCAATTTTTCACTGTCAAACTGGGAAGGAATATCTAATGAAGTCCATCAATCTTGGGTCAGATACTATTCAATACTTTTGCCAATGACTTGGATAATGAAGTGGAGAGTGTGTGTACAAAATCTGCAGATGGCATTAAGATGGGAGCCGTTGCAAGCACTTTGGAAGACCGGATTAGAATTCAGAAGGATCTGGACAAATTGGAGAATTTGTCTGAAATCAACAAGATGAAATTCAATAAAAAGAAGTGCAAAATACTTCTCAAAGGATGGAAAATTCAAATGCACAACTGCAAACTGGGGAATAACTGGCTAGGCCAGTGGTGGGCAACCTGCGGGCCACAGGTTGCACTTAGCCCATCAGTTTGTTTACATTTGCATGGCCACCTGCAGCTCTGAGTGGCTGCTGTTCGCCGTTCCTGACCAATGGGAACTATGGGAAGTGGCGCGGGCCACAGGGACTTTCCCTCCTTAGTCATCTCTCTTTTCCACTGCTCTGGACAGTCGCTTTTATGGTAGCATTTTATATTTCCCATTTGCACTTACTCTGCATCTGTATTAAATGGGAAAATCAGTTCCAAAAAGTCAATACAGCCAGACGCCTCATGGCACAAATGCCTCAGAAATTAAAAGCTATTGTTATTACTATTGTTGTTATTAGTAAAATAATAAATTTCCTTCTGGGTTATTGTGTTTTTCTGGAGGCAGGTTTAATCCTTCTAAATCCCTACTCTCTAAACTTCATGGTATCTTGGATGCTGGCAGAGTATTGTGTATCTAAAGAAACAGGACTATATCAACCCCATGCTCATCTCTATGATATGCTCTCTACCCTTCTTCTTTGACCTCACATCCAGTAAATTCCCTGCCCACTTTCTCTGTCTGTCCAATTTATCTTCCTTGACTCACTGCAATGCTGAATCGCTTTTTTACTTCCTCTTCCCAGCCTACACAGAATTCTCCCTCCCCTCTCATAAAGATATTAAATCAATTTATTTCTTCCAATCTTAATTTAAAACCTGCCTGTTTGTTTGAGCCTAAGATTGATCATCTACCTGCTCACTAAAGCACCTGTCAGTTCTATCTCCACTACTGTAACTTATCTGCCAGAATACTTTATTGCATCTTGATCCAAGTTTCCTAACTCTCTTCAATCTTTGTATGTCATTATTCCCTCTTTACCTACATGAGTCTCTGTAGCTAACTCTGTTAAATTTTATCTCTCAATC